CTAGTGTTACAGGCATGCATAGCAATACCCAGCTTTTTACATGTGAGCTGGGTATGTGAGCACAGGTCCTTATGCTTGCAGAGCAAGCAAGCGTTCTTACCCGCTGAGTCAGAAATCTTAACAGACTTTTTGAAACATTGAATTCATTAAGCTGATTTTAAAGGTTATAGAAGGGAGAAAAAAAAACAAAGACAAGTCAAACAATTTTGAAAAGGGGGGTGACGTAGGCTCTACTGCCTGATTTTAAAACTTACTCTAAAGCTGAAGTAATCCAGACAATCTTGTTTTGCCACGGGCACAGCCACATAGAACAGTGGGATAGAAGAGGCCAGCCAGAAGTAAGCCCTTGCATGTATGACCAGCAAAGATGCCTGACATTCTCCCACGAAATCCTCACTAAATAGCTCTTTGCTTAAACACTCAGAGTCTGAGCCTAAATTTGGGCCAAACACCTTGCATAGACTTGTCTCCTGTTTTGGACACCTTAGCCAAAATTTTTCTCTGTGTTACCAGACTTACCAGGCTCTGCTTTCCTCAGAAGAAAGTCCATGCCCTCACAAGCATAGGCATACTCATCAGAGAGGAAAAAAGTGAATGAAGTTGGCCCCAGAGGGACCAAGGTTTTGGGTGTGGGTAGTTTTGTTTTTTGTTTTTTTTTTTTTTCATTTGTTTCCTTCTCTATTTTAATTTTTTTTTTTTTTTGAGACAGGATGTCAGTATTGCTCTGGCCATCTTCAAACCTGGGCCAATCCTCCTGCCTAGGCCTCTGCCATGCTGAGATTACAGGCATTGAACCTGCATGCCCTTCTCCAGATGGGCTCTGGACTCAGATTTTTGTTTCATACAAATACTACAATAGAATATGGAGTATTTGAGTGTTGCCCCCCTGAACTCTTGTCTTGGGTGTAGCTACGATCGGCCATTTGTTTCTTTTGAAGTGAAGATGTGACAAGGAGAACAAGCCCTTCCCAGAGCTTTTCACCACCTGGTCTCTGTCTAAAACCCTGGCTCAGCAGTGTGCTGTGGTGTTCCACACACCTAGTCCTAAGTACTTGTCTGTCCCAGCAGCCGGGACATCACCTATCAGGACCAAGCCTGCCTGAGCAGGACACCTCCCAGGCTGCCAGCTACAATGAATGACTCTTTCCAGGACGCTGGTATACCTAAGGAAATGGGCACGCCAGGAGAAGTAGGGTCTGTGCCTGTCTTCTGGGTGGCTTCCAAGTGTCAGGATGGTGTTCTTTCTTGCAATTCAGGAATAGGTGTGGAGTGCAGCTAATTCAGGTGGCTGCCTGCACCACTTCCTGTAGGAACCCACGTTCCTGCTTCTGCTTAAGGATTTACTGCAAAGAAAAGTAAATCCTTTCCAGGAGAACAATGAAAGGAAAGTATATTCTAAACCAAGGATATACAGCCAAATGAGTATTTCAAATTATGCTCTTACAAACACATAGAACATTATTGGGCAAGATAGACCTTTAATCTCAACACTTTCGATGCTGAGGCAGGAGGATTGCCATGAGTTTGAGGGCTGCTGTACTACACATTACGTGTCAGTCTAGCTAGGGCTATATAGCAACACTGTGTGAGAGGTGGTGGGGTGGTAGGGAGAGAGAAAGAAAGGAGGACTGTGGTTTGTTACAAGATTACCTTTCCTCTTGTCAAACAAATTAAACTTTCAAATCTCTATTTTGGTTAATAGGAATACTTTATTTTAGAGTATGCCAGGGTCCTTAGCAGAGGCATTAAATCACATTCTTTACATCAACAGAGACACCACAATTAAGAGATTAAACTCAATATTCATTAGCTCCCATACTCTATGTTCTGCTTAAGAATTTCAAGTTTGTGAAGACAAAATACAGCAGGGTGTGGTAGTCCACACCTTTAATCCTGGTGCTTGGGAAGCAGAGGCAGGCAGATCTCTGTGAATTCAAAGCCAGCATGGCCTACAGAGCAAGTTCTGGATCAGCCAGAACTACAGAGTGAGACCCTGTTCCCCCTTTTTTAAAAAAAAAAAAAAAAAAAAAAAAAAAAAAAAAAAAAAGCTGTACAAACATGGGCAAGTCACTTTACACAATTACACTGTCCCTCTCAGAGCTATTAAGACTCAATTCGCTGGGATGGTGGTGGCACATGACTTTAATCCCAGCACTGCAGAGACCAACCTGGTCTGCAGAGCAGGTTCTAGGACAGTCAGGACCACACAGAGAAACCCTGTCTTGACAAACCAAACCTTAATTGCTATGATGACAGGAGGTAGAACCCTGAAGAGGTGATCAGGTCACAAAAGCTCTGTCCCTTGGATGGGTTCATGACTTTGTTTTAGAAATGGGTCCCTAATACAAAGAACTCTTGACTCAAATTCACCTCTCTCTCTCCTTTCAGGTCTCAATACCTGATGCCATCTAAGATGGTTCCAATCTTGAACTTCCTAGTCTTCTAGTCCTCTAAAACTTGGAGCTAAATAAACTTCTAGTGTTCAGAGCCTGCCCAGTCTGCTGCATTCTGTTTTAGCAGCAGCAGAGAGACTGAAAGAAACCCTTTGATTCTTGGGAACACGAATTACAAAGGGAAAACTCCATGTGACTAGTTTTTCACTGCATGGCATACAACAAAAACAAGAAAGAGTGGTTAAAACGCATTTCTTACTGTGCTTGATACTTTGTGTTTTAATCTAGCTTTATTCTGCCTTTTTAAAAATCGGAAATTTCAAAACATGTGAGTTGTCCAATGTTACGATAAGTCTTTACTCCAAAGCCACCCGAGTCCCGCTGCCATTTTAAGGTCCCAAGTAACACACAGAGACTTATATTAGGTACAAATGCTGCTTGGCCAATGACTAGGATTTCTCATCTGCTAGCTCAGTCTTAATTATCATAAATCTATATATAAGACTTATCTTATCGAGGACGCCTCCCACTGGCACCCTCTCTTGCAGGCAGATCACTTGGTGACTCCAGAGTAGATACCAGGAGGAAGATCAAGAGAAAAAGAACGACTTCCTTCTTGTCCTTGCTTATATATGAGTCTGCCTGCTATGTCAGTTCCTGCCTGGATCGCAAGACTTCTTTACTACATTGCCCAGAATCCTCCTCGACTCCTAGTCCTGCCTAACCTTCTGCCTCAGTGGCCAATGTACTTTATTCAACAATCAATAAGATGAACATACATAGAAGTACATTCCCTATCATCTCCTCTTTTCTGTCTAAATAAAAAGGGTAACTCATCTTTTATAATAACTGAAGAAAACTACAACCATAACTGTCTTCAACTCCATCAAAGACCACAGAAGGATAATATCTAAACTTTAGAATTGACAGAGACATCTCACTACCTGGACAGTCAGTTCAACAGCAGGCATCTCTTCATGTTCACGTTTCAGGAGATAGTAAATAATAGTGAATAATTATCTTGCTTCCACTTGGGGCATATGCTCAGAGTTCTGGATTAAGAAGAGAAACCACCAAGAATGTGATCAGTGGCCTGGAGAAGCCCCTGCTAGTCAGAATCACTAGCACTTGTCTTCCCCAACCCTCTTTTTCTTTTCTTTATTTAGTACCAGGGCTTGAACCTAGGGTCTCACACACATTACAGAAAATCACACTATCCTGTCACTGAGCTATGTCCCTGCCCTGAATCATTGGTCCTTAACCCTCTAAACACATCTCCTCTCATCTGCCTAAACCTTAAATGTTGAAAGCAGAAACTTGACAGTATCTGTATTCCTGTATCTTTGGTAACATACAACCATAGTAGCCCAACTGAAACCTGCCAAGTGTCCATGGACAGATGAACGTACAAATGACCTGTGGCACATAAGCACAATGGGATATAGAGCGACTTGACCTTACGTACTTAGAAAATTCTGACCTAAGCTTAGGCACAAGTGAACTTTGAGGACATAAGCTAGTAGTAAAAAAGTACTGGGTGCCTTTGTGTATTCTTGTATGTGCATGTGTGTAGAGGATTATATGTACATGTGTGTACAGATGCATGTGTGCACGTGTGTGTGTCATAGTTGGATGAATATTCCCCCCAGGTTAATTATTGAGATAGGGTCTCTCACTGAAGCTGGAGCTCATGTTTCAGCTAGACAAATTGCCCAGAAGTCCCGGAATTACCTGCCTGTGCCCAACACGCACACATCCAGCACTCCAGCACTAAGGCTGGAGGCATGTACTACCATGCCTGGTGCTTCTGTGAGTGCTGGAGACCTGAATTCAGGTCCTCAAGTTTGTACAACAAGCACTTTACCAACCCGGCTATCCAGCCCCTAATTTTTTAAAATTATCTTTTAATTGGCATATAAAATAATAGGTTCCATTATGACATTTTTAATACATGAATCAGATTTGCCACTCCCCCCATATTTCTCCTCTCTCTGATTCCTTCCCTCCTTCTAACTGGTCCACATTCTGCTTCCATGTATATAAACACTTGTGTTTAAATCCTCATATGGAAAACACTTAATATTTTTGTCTTTCTAGCCACATTACCCCCAGTCCCTCCACCTGAGACTACTTCCTCTTCCCATATGTTTCACTTTGACTTTGGGGTTGTATGTATACTTAAATCTAGATTCTGCCTATGGAAGAGAATACAGGATATTAAGACAAACATGGCTATTAAATTGCAATAACAGGATAAAGACAGCATGCTGAGCTCTTACACAGTAGGGTGGCTACAGATAATAATGATGTACTGGACACCTCCAAGGGCCAACGGTATCTTATACAATGTAAATACAATGTGAAGAATCTCTCTATCTCTCTCTCTTGACATTCGGGAGTTCTGGCTTATGTGTTTTGCACATCTGTAAGCCTGGTACAGGGTGACCTGTTGCACTCTGGAGCTGCTGCTAGAACTACAGCCTCTGTGGGAGTCTTCAAGAGTCATTCATAGATGTTTATTTCATGCTTGTGTCTAGAAATCACTTGGTGAGTCAGCCATGCCCTTGCCTCCATTGCTGTGTGTTGTCACAAGTCACAAGGGTAACAGCCACCCAGCTACTTAATGACATCATTTGGTAGTTGCTGTTCCCACAGAAAGGCTGGGGAACTTGGATACGTACCCCTTCTCACATCACAGCAACAGTATGAGAAACTCAAGCTCTCTTCAGCCATGAGTGGGCAGACAGGCCCTGGTGATAAAGGATCTGCCAGCCACCATGATACTTCCTCTGAGTCACCAGCTCTCAGGTTTGCCTCACTGCTTAACCCTGCCCCTGAGCCATCCTCTCCTCTCCTCCCTAGAAGTCAGGAGCTGGGGGAAAGTGACCATATTATGCTCAAAGTGCAAGGAAGCTGCAAAGCAAGAGACCACCTGGCCTTCACCTGGCCATAATGACTCACAAACCTGGACTGCATCTTCCATATGAGGACCCCAGAGCCCTTTACAATCACACCCTTGGTATGACCCTCCGGCACTCTCTCGAAATGACATAGGAATTTCCAAGCCGAAGAAACTGAAATATGAAAATATCCCCCCCCCCCCCCCCCTCTCTCTCTCTCTCTCTCTCTCTCTCTCTCTCTCTCTCTCTCTCTCTCTCTCTCTCTTACTTTGTGTGTGTGTGTGTGTGTGTACGTGATGATGGCATACAATCAGGACCTTGTGTATGCTAAGCACTTGTTTGACCACCGAGCTTCAGTGTCAGTTCCAATGTTATTTATTTAAACGTTTCACTCCTATTCTTCCTGCTATTTTTCAGGATCCACTCCGTGTTTTCAATGAATGAGGGAAGACAGAATAACAATTTTGTACCCAATATAATCTGCACATGTGAGCCTCTTACTTCCACAGAGCCAGGTACTTCTATTATCACCTTTACCTGGCTTTCAGAAAGACTTACTTCCCTTTCTAAGCTCTCTGGAGAATCTGATCTTCCTTTTTTCTCACTACACCAGCAGCAGTTTGGAAGACAATGTGCTAACTTGGGTTATGTGACTCTGTGATTCTTAAACATACATGTGCATGCAGCTGGCATGGGAGCACACACCTGTAACCCTAGTACTTGGGAGGCAGAAGCAAAAGGATCTTGAGTTCAAGTCCAGCCTGGGCTTTATAATGAATTTGAAATCAGTTTGGGCTACACAGTGAGATCCTGCCTCAAATAAACACATAAATACATAGGCGAACCATGTGCCTGAAAATCACTGGAGGGTCATGGTAAGCAGGAGACTCTGGTCCAATACAGCTGAGTGGGGTGCAAGATTCTATGTCTCTAATAAAAACTAGGGGGGCTGTTGCCAGCCAATGGAACACATTATTAGCAGCGAGGAGCTATACTGGGCAAGCCCTTGTAGACAATACCCTCCTAGAAAAATGACAGCAGGAACTGACCCATTATTCTCTTACCTCCAGTTCTCTGGGTACTTAATTAATCTGAGCCTTGAATTATTCTGACTCTTGGCTTTTGATCTGCAAACCACTCTGACGTTGGGACGTCACAGTGCGGTAAGGAGGTAGGAAAGACAGTTTTAGGGTCTATGCAAGCCAAAGGAGCCAATATCACCTCTGATTGTACTAAACATAGTATAGACGTGTCCCTTTAAAGAGTAGTATGAGGATAGTTGTTTGCTAAGCAACATTCCAAAGCAAAGACTGAAAAAAGAATAAAATTAATAAGAGGTCATTTTGCAGGTAAAAAAAAAATACCTTTTTTCTTAGTCATTCAATGTATTTGAAATTTATATTCCAGGCACCTAAGTGAAATTTTGCAACATTCCATTATCAATGTCTGGCCTTACCTTTCAACTCCACTGGGTTAATCCTGTGTCCTGTGGTTGTCATGGCAGCGCTGATAACTGGCCCTGGGGGCTTTCCTCTGGACTATCAGGTCATCTAGGCCATCTCATTAAAATCTCCTGGTCTGTCACCCTAGAAACTAAGAGCTGGTAGCTCTTGGGGCACAATTCCTGAATAATAAAAGAGCATTTCGAGGTCTGGGTATTTCCCATGCTGCAGAATTCTACATGGCTGGGCATTGTGGTGCGCCGCTGAAATCCTAGCACTTGGAAGGCTGAGGCGGAAGGATCATGAGTTCAAGACCACCCAGGACTACATGGTGAGTTTCAGGCAAGACTCTGTGTGTGTGGATGGAGGGAGGCAGGCAGGAAGGGAGGGAGGAAGAGAGAGAGAGAGGGAGGGAGAGAGAGAGAGAGAGAGAGAGAGAGAGAGGGAGAGAGAGAGAGAGATGCATCATTGTCGAAATACTGCTTCATACTTCCATTGTGTGAACAAAAATAATTTACTTACCCATGGTCCTGTACATGGGTATCTAAACTGTTTACATTGGGGTCTGGAGAGATGGCTCAGCAGTTAAGAGCACTGGCTGCTCTTGCCTCTCCATCAGCTCCTGCCTCCAGGTTCCTGCAACGTTTGAGTTTCTGGCTGACTTCCCTCAACGATGGAACAGGATGTGGAAGTGTGAGCCGAATAAACCCTTTCCTCCCCAAGTTTGCTTTTGGTCATGGTGTTTATCACAGCAATAGAAACCACAACTAAGATACCCTTCTTCGTTCTTCCTTCCCTCCCTCCCTCTCCTTTTCTTTCTGCTTTCCCCATCCCTTCTTTTTTCTTTTATGTTAAATACTTTTCCATATTTACACTGTCAAATATGAACAACATGTAAAAACCTTGATATCTACTCAGCAAATTTTGAGTATACAATAAATATATCCTATTAACCACAGTCACTGTGCATAGGGGCTCTGTCTTACCCACGTTAGGAAGTTATAAAGTCTATTTACAGAGTTGGAAATTCCGTATCCTGAGACGTTTCTGTTTCTTTTGGCTATCACCTGACCCTTCCTGCCCACCTCCCATTGATCACCCTGGCCCCCGGCAAAAACTGATTTATTTTCTGTCTGTATATATTTGCTTGTTATTCGAAAGACTGGATCTCACTGTGTAGCCCAAATTGGCCAGGAACTCTCCAGTTTCCTTCCTCAACCTCCAGTGCTAGAATTAGATACGTGTGTATCACTATAGCTGACTTAGGTATACTTTTGATATTTCTTGCAGTTATGTCATATTGTTATCCTAAAACCTGACAACACACTACTTCATAAAGTTTTTGGATATTTTTAATATCGGGAAACATTTCAGTATGTGTTTAGTACTGTCTTCATTTGATTTTCTCTAATTATTACAAGGCCTAGCAATGTCTTCAAATGCTTGAAAGTCATCTTTTACAAATTACCAATTTATAACATTTTATCCACTTTTCAAGTTGCTTTAGTTAAATCATCATGTATTTTTTTTGTCTTTCTGCAAACTATTGGAAAACCATCCTCCCTGGAGCTCGTAGTATTTGCTCTACCACATTCTGGACCTTTTGAAGAGACAGCTGTGGACATGCTATAAAGGATGACTGTTTTCACCAGCACTGTATTCACTTCGCCCTCTAAGGCTGATAAACCCAGAGCCATTGCTTACATTCCAAAGGATGATAAACCCATTGACCTTCCTCTCTCTTCCGGAGTGGATGGATCTGTGTGGAGGACAAAGGTCTCTCCCCACATTGCATGAGGAATGGACAATAAAACTTCTTTGTGAGCAAATTGTTGGTCTATTTTCTGGTCATCAACCTGCTGTTTCCATGCAAGAAACATGGATGGAGATGTAGAAATTTAACAGTATCTTCTCTCTTCTCTGAGTCTGTAGCTTTTTATCTCTTGCTCACTCTTTCTTCTTTCTTTTATTTTTTTATTGTGCCAAGGTTTTGCCATGCAACCCTGGCTGGCCTCAAACTCTCTATTCTCCTGCCTCAGCCTTCTGTATGTGTGACCATGTCCAGCAGTAAGTTCTTTACTGTGCTAATACATAAATTTTACCCTTTTAATCATTTTTTTACATATAGTTCAAAAGCATTAGGTATAGTTGCACTCTCCTCTATCCATAGAACTTTTTCATTTTGAAAAACAAAAGCTATTTTTAAGAGGCTGTGGCCTTTTTTAAACATCCCACTGAACCATCTTGACAGCCCAGAAAACCAAAACTTCATACTCATTAAGCACTTTGCTTCCTTTTCTTTCCCCCCAGCCTCTGGGACCTTCTGCCTTCTGTCTCTGAGTCTGCCTTCTCAAGGGAACAAAGGCAATCATGCCATGCTAGTCCTTTGTGACTGGCATTTCACTTAGCAAGATGTCCCCATAGGTCTCCATGTGTCCGGATTTCCTTCCCGTTTTAAAAACAAAACAAACAAACAAACAAACAAACCCTGGTCTGTTAAAGGTGCTAGAGAGACAGCGCAGAGGTTAAGAGCACTGACTGTCTTGCAGAGGACTGGGGGTCCATTCCTGGCATCTGCATGCAACTCCACTTCCAAAATACCCAACCCCCTCTTCTGGCCTCTACAGGCACAAGGCATGAACATGGTACACAGACATAAACTCGGGAAAAGACAATTAACTACATAACAGAAAATGAATAAATCAAAAATTATGTGTGTGTAATATAAATGTATCATAAAACAGACCATTTTAACACTTTTAAATACATAGTTGGGTGGCATCAAGTGCAGTCACCCCTATCCATTCACTCAACTATTTTTCTTCTTATGAAACTGAAACATTGAGCAATAGCTCTCCATTCTCCCCTCTCCCATGCTTGGCTCTTAATTTTGAATATTTTACCCATGTGTATACATAGCACATTGGGTTTACCCAATCATTTTCACAGACACAGGCTGCATCCGCCTTTTGACTGTTGTGAATGACTCCATGTATGAAGCACAGGCTCCTGTTTGAGTCCCCACACGTATGCACATGTTAATGTTTCTATAACTGGGAAGGAACCCAGGGCCTCACACAGGCTAGGCAAGTACTCTACCAAGTTCGTGCTCTACATTGTCCAAAAGACAGGAAATTTTTCTGTTTCAACATTTACTTTTTCACCTTTCCTCTGTGGTTTTCTTTATGTTGTTGGTGGCAGGGACTCATGTAGCAGAGGCTGGCCTCAAACTCCCTATTATATAGCTAAGGATGTCCTTGAACTTCTAATTCTCCCATTTCTACCTCCCAAGTGCTGGGATTACAGGTGTGTGCCACCATTTCTGGTTTTATGAATCCTGGTGCTGAATCCAGGGCTTCATATTTGCTGGGTAACACTTACCAACCGAGCTACATTCCCAGAGCATCTGTTTTTGGGGGCCTGTTATAAGATACCATTTTTTTGGAACTGCCTGGCTTGTTCAGATGGCTGCCTGGCTTTTAGGTTTTGATTCCTATGGCCTGATACTCATAATCCTAGGACTGCTTATCTGCAGCTGAGGCCCCAGACCAAGGAAGGCTGCCAGGGTCATAGCTCATGGGCTGGCTCCATCTTTAAAGAAGGGAAGGTCCCTTCTGCCCACCCCCTCACACCCCGCATGAGGGCATTTAGGTAGATCTAGGGATTAATGACTAATAAACCCACACAGATTTAATAATATTGCATATACATGGGGATCTTCATGTGTGAGGTCCAGAGAAAGGAACACATTATATCACTGTCAAAGGCATGCCCCCAGTGACCTACTTCCTCCTCTAAACACACACACACACACACACACACACAGAGAGAGAGAGAGAGAGAGAGAGAGACAGAGACAGAGACAGAGACAGAGACAGAGACAGAACAAAGACCACAACTGTGTCAATGGAGTTCCCAGATCTAGCTCCAGTCCCTGGGAGAAACCAGCCCCTTAATACTGGAAAAACCCAAGGCTGTGAAAGAATTTACTGTTTGCTCCAGGCAATGATTGATGTCAGACCCTAACCTCCCACGAAGTTCTTTGTTTACTTCCAGAAAACCAGCAGTTGTGGTCTTTGTACTGTCTCTGTCTCTGTCTCTGTCTCTGTCTCTGTCTCTGTCTCTCTCTTTCTCTCTCTCTCTCTCTCTCTGTGTGTGTGTGTGTGTGTGTGTGTGTGTTTAGAGGAGGAAGTAGGTCACACTGGGGGCATGCCTTTGACAGTGATATAATGTGATGAGACCACCGATGTCTGTCGGGTCCACTGTTGGCTGACACAGTTATGTGACATGTGAGTTGTACATCATGTAAGGGGCTCGGCAAAGTACAGAACCAAGTAGAAGTCACTATTCTTTAAAAGGGGAGCAGAATATTTGCACATGTGCATTCATTTGCCTGTGTTCACAAAAAAACTGTGAACACTGTGAATGTACACGGAAAACTGGTAATACCCCTTACTTTTGGAGATAGGCATGGAGTAGCTAGGTAGGACATGGAAAGGATTTTGAATTGATCATTTGATTATAATAGTATTTCCAAGAAGGTAAAATAAAAACAAAATGAGCAAGCTCCAGTTGAGCAATGAAGTAGAAAGGCATTTTAAATTTGTAAATTTGTAAATTTTTTCATTTCTCCCATTCGCCAAGATAAGTAATCATCACTCCTGAATTAATTCACATAAAATTCAGCCTAAAGCTATAATTCAGTTGCTTTTAGCATTTACACATCATTATACCAACAACACTGTCTTGCTTCAGCTCATCATCCCAAAGGGAAACCCCCATCTCCCTGTCCTGGTCTCTGACAGTCATTCTAATCTACTGTCTGACCCATTGAGAATATGTCCTAAAAATGAAACCATGCAGTAAATATTATTCTTCCACAAACCAGGATGGATGTTTGGGTCATTTCTACATTTTGACTATTGGAAATATTTTTTCAGAAACATAGAATTTCCAGGCTGAGTGTGTGGCACAAGCCTGTATTCCCTGCACCTGAGAGACAGGAAGGAGAGTGTTGTCTAGGTTCCTGTGCCCAGACTAGCCTGAACTTCACAGCAATAGCCTGCCTCAAAACAACAGTGAGATGGAGAGGGACAGGAGGAGGAGACCGGAGAGGGGGTAGGGGCTTTAACTCATGGGCATTTCAAGATGTCTTGATGGGGGGAGGTAGGGAAGAGTGGGAGGAGGGGAGGGAGGAGGAACTGTGGTTGGTAGGTAAAATGAATAAAAATTTGAAAAAAAAAAAAGATGTCTGGATACTCAGAGCAAGGGTTAGGCATCATTTGCTGTCTGTCACATGACAGGCATCTGTACATATTTAAAGACACAGTTTAAATCCATTTTTGTCATTTAAGTTATTATTTCCTTCCTGTGAACTTCTTACTCATCCTCCCTGGTGCCTTCCCGTCTTATTGATTCTTCTCCTTCCTTTGGTTTGTTTTTCTATTCACTCACTCGAGGTGGTGCTCAGGGTAGAACCCAGGGCCTCACAAATGCTGAGCACATAGACTATTGCAGAACTAAGCAAGCTCCCTTGGCTCCCAGTCTGTGACTACACTCAAGGGTTTCCCCAAACCACACAGGCCTCTCTTCCCCCCTCCCCAGTACACCTCTCCTCGCTTGCTTACTGCAATTAGTTTTTTCATTTCTCCCATTCGCCAAGATAAGTAATCATCACTCCTGAATTAATTCACTAAGGAAAAAATTAAAAAGCTGCCACACCCGGGCTTTACTTGAATAGTCATTTTTGCCATTAGCTCTTGCCCGAAAGGCAAGAGGTTTGTTGAAACTGGTCTGCTCCTCCTCCACCACTCCGTCTGGGGTAAATGTAAAACTGGGGTATTTTTCAAATCCAGGCTTACTGAGCTCAAAGAGATAGTCTTAGGAGAGATTAGATCAGCAGGAAGCTGGATAGTGTTCAGCTCCAAATGAGATTTGGAGAAGCACACACATGCACAAAAATGCATGCATAAACACACAAGCACACATGTACGTATAAACAAGCATGCATATGTATGTACACACAGATGCATGCACTTGCACACATACACATGTATGTTCATGAATGCAAACACACGCACTTACACATGTGTGTACTATGTGCACACAATTACACACGTGCACACCTGTGCACAGGTGAATATGCATGTACATATATGCACACGTGCCACCATCATGGGTCCTCCTGGGGAGCTTATAAACTAAAGCAAATCCTCAACACCCCAGTGAGAACATCGACTCTTCTCCGCCTGTCTGCTCCATCTCTAGAGAGAATCCCACCCACACTGCAGAGCAGGCTTACCAACAGAACAGAGTAGCGTCCTGATACCAAAATGTTGGAGGCACAGACCAATTCTGGCTCAGAAACTGAGGCTATCCAGCCACAGCCCGAATGAAACTTGTTTAGGTTTCTTTCTTTTTCATTTATTCGTTAGAGGGTCTCATGATGTAGCCCTGGCTGACTTGGAGTCCATAATATAGATAGGATCGGCCTTGAGCTCCAGAGAGCTCTGCCTCTTGCCTCTGCCTCTCAACTGCTGGGACTAAAGGTGTGTACCATCATGCCCATTTAAATTTTTGTATTTTAATTTTGTATTTAATTAATTAAATTTTGTATTTAAATTTCTTGATTGATTTTTGTTTTGAGTTTCGGGTTTTGGTTTGGTTTGGGTTTTGTTGTTGTTGTTGTTGTTGTTTGAGATAAACTCTTCCACTGTAGCCCTGGCTGGTCTTGAACATGCTGCAATCCTTCTGCCTCAGTCTCTCACATGCTGGGATTATAGATATGAATCA